GGAGAGTTGCTGAGAGACTCTGCAGACCCTCTCGAGGAAAACAAAAACGTGCAGCTGTTGTAAATTTGCGTCTGTGCCAAGTTGAAGCTGTGAGTGAGCTTCTTCTTCTGATTCTACCTGTGGTGAGTCAGAACACCTGTTTAACCCTGAGATTATCCCGTGTAATAAACATGTGCAAGGGGGCGTTCGTTGGTTACATGAACTATAGTAGCCTTACCAAAAGTAAAACCAGTTACAGTCATCATCCCAAAGTTACCCCCCCCCCCAACAAACTGACGCCCTTGAACGCTGCGCTGCCCCCCCCTCTGTGTTCACTGAAGCAGCCGTGTAAATCTGCAGTAGAAGGAGGACAGACACGGGGGACATGTCTTCCATAGTGAGATACTGAGCGAGGTTTGATAGGGGTTACCATGGTAACCAAACATTATTTATAATACAAGATTCAGAAACTCAACAACAGGTGTTCAAACCAGCAGAATATATTTACAAACTAAATCCACTACATCAAGGTACTGAGTCTGCCAGCAGGGGGCAGTGTTGTCTGGACTCACCAGAACTCTCCATCGTCTTGCACAGTGACTCCGATCTTTTCCCGTTCCCCCTTACTGACCTTCTTCCACTCCTCAGAGCTGCAAACACACAGAATCCATCCTGAGTATGAAGTCTTTGACAAGGACGCAGTTTTATTTTCATTAATGAAGATATTTCACACTTCTGTATCTGTCAGAGATCCTGTCTGCTCCTCAGGTGACTGTTCTTCTTATAGTCATGGTTGTTCTTTAGTTTCATGATCAAAACTCTGATTCTAACACAGTGACTGTCTGAACTTCAGATGTTTGAGGTAAAAACAAACTTTATTTATAAATCTGTGAACAAACTGGACTGAGGAGGACGAGAGACTCTCCTTTTTCATTACTCCTGTTCCTCTCTCTCTCTCTCTCTCTCTCTCTCTCCCTCTCTCTCTCTCACAGTCTCTCTCTCTCTCTCTCTCTCTCCCCCACAGTCTCTCTCTCTCTCTCTCTCTCTCTCTCACTCTCTCTCTCCCAGTCTCTCTCTCTCTCTCTCTCTCTCCCCCACAGTCTCTCTCTCTCTCTCTCTCTCTCTCTCTCCCCCACAGTCTCTCTCTCTCTCTCTCTCTCTCCCCCACAGTCTCTCTCTCCCTCTCTCTCTCTCCCACAGTCTCTCTCTCTCTCTCTCTCTTTCTCTCCCTCCTCCACAGTCTCTCTCTCTCTCTCTCTCTCTCTCTCTCTCTCTCTCTCTCTCCTCCACAGTCTCTCTATCTCTCTCTCTCTCTCCCACAGTCTCTCTCTCTCTCTCTCTCTCCCCCATAGTCTCTCTCTCTCTCTCTCTCTCTCTCTCTCTCTCTCTCTCTCTCTCCCCCACAGTCTCTCTCTCTCTCTCTCTCTCTCTCTCTCTCTCTCTCTCTCTCTCTCTCTCACCTGTCACTCCAGGGTCCGTTCCACTCTCTCTCTCTTTCTCTCCCCCACAGTCTCTCTCTCTCTCTCTCTCTCTCTCACCTGTCACTCCAGGGTCCGTTCCACTCTCTCTCTCTCTCTCTCTCTCTCTCTCTCTCTCTCTCTCTCTCTCTCTCTCTCTCTCTCTCTCTCTCTCTCTCTCTCTCTCTCTCTCTCTCTCTCTCTCTCTCCCTCTCTCACCTGTCACTCCAGGGTCCGTTCCACTCTCTCTCCCCCACAGTCTCTCTCTCTCTCTCTCTCTCTCTCTCTTTCTCTCTCTCTCCCCCCACAGTCTCTCTCTATCTCTCTCTCCCCCATAGTCTCTCTCTCTCTCTCTCTCACCTGTCACTCTTGGTCCGTTCTCTCTCTCTCTCTCTCTCTCTCTCTCTCTCTCTCTCTCTCTCACCTGTCACTCCAGGGTCCGTTCCACTCTCTCTCTCTCTCTCTCCCCCATAGTCTCTCTCTCTCTCTCTCTCTCTCTCTCTCTCTCTCTCCCTCTCTCACCTGTCACTCCAGGGTCCGTTCCACTCTCTCTCTCTCTCTCTCCCCCACAGTGTCTCTCTCTCTCTCTCTCTCTCTCTCTCTCTCTCTCCCTCTCTCACCTGTCACTCCAGGGTCCGTTCCTCTCTCTCTCTCTCTCTCTCTCTCTCTCTCTCTCTCTCCCTCTCTCACCTGTCACTCCAGGGTCCGTTCCACTCTCTCTCTCTCTCTCTCTCTCTCTCTCTCTCTCTCTCTCTCTCTCTCTCTCTCTCTCTCTCTCTCTCTCTCTCTCTCTCTCACCCGTCACTCCAGGGTCCGTTCCACTCTCTCTCTCCCCAGGGGTTCCTCAGTCGGATCATTTCCAGTTTGTCGGACCTGAAGAAGGCGAGCAGACCGTGGCCCAGCCTCACCCTGCGGACGTCCGTCACCGCGTAGGCGTGTCCCTTCACCAGACCGCAGTCCAGCTTGGCCTCCATGTCTGCGGCGCTCAGGGCCTAAAATCACAGGAGCCAATCAGAGCAGAGTTTCAGTCAGTTCATGAACAGATGTAGCTCCTCCGTGTGTTTCTGTGGTTTCTTCACCCGTATGGAGCAGCTGATGAGTCCGTCTCTGTTGTGGACCTTCAGGACTCTCTCGAACAGCTCATCCCGTTTCTCTTTGTCGTCTTTGAACCCGTTGGTCACCAAGTCCATGGGCTCCGATACTCCTCCGGTGAAATCCACAAGAGCGTCGGATGTGTTTCCCCCGTCCAGCGCCTCGTAACATCCGCTCATCCTGGACAAACACGGAGCAGTTACTCATTTTTAACTCATTAATCAGATTTTTATCATTCTCTGTACGTCCGCCCTCAAATCTGTAAAATTCTGCTGCAGAAATTAGTCATAAATTAAAGAAAGACACTTAAATAAAGACTGATTGATTGATTGATTGATTGATTGATTGGTTGTGTGCTCATTATCAGCCTCACTCCTGGACTCACTTGGCGTAGGCCTTCTCCACCAGCGCGCTCCAGAACTCGTTGCTGTCGTTTGAGTGGCAGTAGATCAGCCCTCCGTTCGCCGTGGGCAGCTGGTCGTCGATCACCACGTCCACCCACTCACCGAACCGCCAAAACCGAAAGTGGAAGATCCCGGCGTAGGACTCTGGGTGGTCCTCGTCCCACTCCTGGTCCTTCCAGTCTGGAATCACCTTGGAGAAACAGAAGAAACACACGAACCTGAACAGGAAGGAGAGATACAGAGAAGGACGAATGTTTGGAGACTTCGCAGGAATATCGGCGCTTCAAGAAGTCGTAAATCGAGGTGATGGTGGATTTTATTGTTTGGACAGATATCTTGACCTGATGATAGTTCACAAAGTGGAGAACCAACCGTGTTCCTGTTTTTATCGTGACTAAAACACAAAGATAATTATCATAATATCCCTCAGATCAGCTGTCCATGACGCTCGGACACGAGACTGAAACCACAACAGCGTCACCAGCGCTGCCTCGCCACTTCCTGTCGTCTTTTTCACATGTGACCCTGCTGCGTCACACCCCCCAAACGTTGAAATGGTGGTAATATTTCCAATTATTAGAAGTATTTACACATAAAATGTCTCCAGTGGTGAAGAAAGAGCTGAGCCGCGAGGAGAGACTCTGGATTTACCGGTCGATCTACGTGCCGATCCTCACCTATGGTCATGAACTTTGGGTAATGAGCGAAAGAACAAGATCGCAGATACAAGCGGCTGAAATGGGTTTCCTCCTCAGGGTGTCCGGGCTCAGCCTTAGAGATAGGGTAAGGAGCTCGGACACTCGGGAGGAGCTCAGAGGAGAACCGCTGCTCCTCCACGTCCAGAGGAGTCAGCTGAGGTGTTAGGACGCCTTCTGGACGCCTCCGTTAGAGGAGACCTCGTGGTCGGCCCAGGACCAGGTGGAGGGGTTGTATCTCTCGCCTGGCCTGGGAGCACCTGGGAACCCCCCCAAAGGAGGAGCTGGTGGAGGTGGCCGGGGTGAGGGCTGTCTGGACTTCCCTCCTGAAGAAAACGACGACCACAAAAATGTCTTAAATGATGGACAGCTGGGATGACCGTTTAAGAAGGGGGAGGAGTTTGACCATTTTCATTTCAGGGGGGGATGCCACCCCCTCACCCCGCCTCCTCCACTCAGGTACTGCATACTTCACCTCATAGACAGGAAGTGGAAATAAAAAGGTTCACAAACATCAGTCTACCTGTTTCCCTCGACGAATCGTCTGCTTCCATAATTAACACGAGCGACGGAGGATTTCAACCTTTTAACAAGGGAACGCCACCCACCCTGATCGTTAGCCGAGCTTCAACGCACCATCGCCGCTGACACACACACACACACACACACTCCTAATTGTTCCTCACTAAAGTGAATGATATAAATAAATAAGTCATCCACTGAGCCAAGGCCAGCCCAGCTCCCAGAAGCCTTCAGGAGCCTCCCAGAGTACGTCACGGGTGCCTTCTGTTGCCTAGCACCCTCACACATCACCCACCTCCTTAATGCCTTTTAAAAAATCCATCAGAGTATTTCCATTTCATACTCAGACCTGTTTTTGTGGTACTGCCAGAATAAAGAGACATCCCAGTATTTTCATGTTTGAACCTCTAAAAGTGGAGAATAAAAACTGCTGCTGCTGCCGGTCAGGATGAAGTTTTCTTCACTTTCACACTTTTACACATTCAGACACACGGACTGCACATGTGTCACCCTGCAGACTCGTCAGGATAGAGACGAGTGTTGCTCTTCCTGTTCCTGTTGTCATATTGATCTCATGGACTGATGCTTCCGATCGATGTGTCCTAACTCGGCTTCCCCGTGGGCACACGGGGGGATGGGGAGGTCTGGGACAAAGTGAAAAACTGCTACACTGTGATGGGGACAATTAAAGAGGGGAGGAGCTAAAGAGGAAACATGTGAGCCAATCAGAACAGAGAGAAAGGTGAGACAGAGAGAGAGAGAGAGAGGGGAGGGTATATTTTAGAGATCCTAGCCGAGGTTTTTCAGGCACATCATCCATCCTCACATCCACCAGCTGACCTTTCTTCTTCTTCTTCTTCTTCTTCTTCTTCTTCACCCCGGACCAGAACCTCAGAGTCGGACATGGACGCTGACAAATCTCCCTCTGACACCATCCTGTTGGAGTTCAAAGAGGATCCTGCGCTGACGGAGGTGAGGCTCTGAAAACTTTAGGACTTTAATGTTTGTGTTTCTTCAGAAGATGATGGGGATGATCCGATTCTCTCTGTTTTGGAGGACGTGAGGGTCTCAGAGGTTTTCAGGGTTTCTCTGGTGGAAGTATTTCTAAATCTTCTGTATTTTTCTTTACGTCAGACTTTTAGAGACGCGTTTGTTTTTCAGCTACATCTACAAAACTCATCTGTGTGTCGAGTCCATGTTTGAGTTTCCTTACTTTGGTGTTTTTTTCATTTTTCTCTGGACTAATCATCGATGGTCGACTTATCAGAGTATCGAAAAAGGCTGTGAACTCGGCACTCAAACTTATTTTTAATCAAACCGATTAAATCGACGGTCTGAAATCTTCAGCAGAGTTTGGACTTATTCAGATTTTCTAGGTTTAATGAATCTGTTAATAATCGATCTTTGGGTTTGTTTGTTTGGACTGATGCACAGACTCTCTGTCCTGAATATTAGACTGAAAAAACATCATTCAATATTAATGATTTATAGATGATCTAAAGGAAACAGCAGGATAATCGAACCTCAGGGAAGATCCTGGAAAACTGTGAAAGTGCGTTTAGATAATTGTCTGAAAATATGAACATTTAAAGGATCATTCCGGGTGGTTATTAACGGTCTGCGTCATCCCTGAGGTCAAAGGTCATGAGCTGCTCTGATAGTTTCACGACAACCTTCAGGTTCAGAAGGTGAGTTCACGTCTACAGGTGAGAAAGGTGGACCTGAGTCAGAGCAGGTTTCTGAGAGTCAGAGAGACGGTTTAGGAGGTGAGGAGGTAAGGAGGTGAGGAGGTGAGGAGGAAAGGAGGCAATGGGTGAGAGGTAAGGGGGAGATGAGGTGAGGAAATGAGGGGGTTAGGTGGTGAGGAAGGCAAGGAGGTGAGGAGGCGTCATATTCCATGAACAAACTCATCTCCTAACGCAGCTCCTTCCTCTTCAGGTCTCCTCATTCCTCCTCATTCCTCCTCATTCCTCGTTACACTAACTCGCTCCTCTGTCGTGTCTTTGTCTTCGTAGATGATGCGTCTCCGCGTGTCGTCTTTGCAGCGCTCGGGGCAGAAGCGTCAGGACGGCGAGCGTCTTCTCCTCCCTCATGAGTTCGTGTATCGGCTGGACTTTGAAGACCAGGAGCTGAACTTCTCACGCTGGTACTTCTCCCTGAGCGGCCACGGCCGAGTCACCATCACGGGGATCTGCCAACACTGGACCCCTGACCTCACCAACCTGATGACCCGGCAGCTGCTCGAGCCCATCGGAACATTCTGGAGGAACGCCAACGACCCCGAGGACCTGCCCCTCAAGTGGCTGGAGGCCGACATGCAGGAGTTCGGGGAACGGATCGCTGAGCTGGCGAAGGTCAGGAAGGTGATGTACTTCCTGTTTGCGTTCAAGGACGGCTCGGAGAAATCCAACCTCAGCTGCTCCGTGGAGTTCACCGCAAACAACTGACTGTTCCACTTCCTGTCTGTATAATCCACGTAGGTTATCCGAATAGTATGCAATACTCTGTCCAACCGTTGACCTTTGACCCTTTAACGGCATCGCAGTAGAGCTGGATCATAACGTTACGTAAGCGCTGACCTCCGACCTCTGAGTCACACAGTTTAACCAGTAAAATCACAGATCAGTACAGAGAGCGAACTCTGACCTTTAAAGGAAGTATTTTCATAAAACGAAACTTCTAACAACATCACTACACATGAACAGTAGTGAGTGAATGAATGAATGCACTTTATAACAGAGACTCGATTTAACCTCCTGTGGTTCCTGCTGCAGAATAAACGTCAAACCATCAAACCAAAAACTATTCATCATAATCCAGATCCTTCGACCACAAACAGAGAAAACTCCGACTTTAGAAACTCTGACCAATCTCAATATTTCAGCTGTAAATGAACCCGACTTCACCGAATCCTGTAAACCTGTGTGTGAAAAAAACCAGTGATTTCTGTTTGTTATAGAAGTTTATGTAAAAGAAGAGGCTGTGAGCGGGATATCAAATATTCACATGACTGTCGGCCTGACACAGAAACACAGATCGATGAGACAGAGAGCATTAAATATCGACTGACAGCTGTCTGTGTGTCCTCATTGGTGTTCAAGGACGGAGGGAGCCAGGGGAGGAAACGAGGGGGTAATACAGGGGAGAGGAGAGGAAACGAGGGGGTAATACAGGGAGAGAGGAGAGGAAACAAGGGGGTAATACAGGGAGAGAGGAGAGGAAACAAGGGGGCAAAACAGGGAGAGAGGAGAGGAAACGAGGGGGCAAAACAGGGAGAGAGGAGAGGAAACGAGGGGGTAATACAGGGGAGAGGAGAGGAAACGAGGGGGTAATACAGGGGAGAGGAGAGGAAACGAGGGGGTAAAACAGGGGAGAGGAGAGGAAACGAGGGGGAAAACAGGGAGAGAGGAGAGGAAACGAGGGGGTAATACAGGGGAGAGAGGAGAGGAAACAAGGGGGCAAAACAGAGAGCGAGGAGAGGAAACAAGGGGGCAAAACAGGGAGAGAAGAGAGGAAATGAGGGGGTAAAACAAGGAGAGAGGAGAGGAAACAAGGGGGCAGAAAAGTGAGATAGGAGAGGAAACAAGTGGGCAAAACAGGGAGTAAGACATAAAACCCTAAGTCGTGTAAATCTTAAAGAAACTCCTCTGCATACTTGTACATTATCATCACATTTATACACTTTTGTTATTCGATGGTATTTCAGTTTGTCGTGTGGAAGTTCACTCGGCACGTTTCTATCTGAAGGTCTCCTCAGGTCAGCAGGAAACATGTCGTCACGAACGCCATCAGATTTAGTTCGTGGTTGTCTTTATCACACCAGAGGTTTGTGTTTGTTTGTGGACCACTGATCGGCGTCACGACAACTGACTACTCCACTGAGGCTGCGGCACCTGAAACAGTCCGAAGTTTCCTCTCAGCTGATGGAAAACGGAGAGCTGCAGACGTCCTCAGAGACCCCACAGGAGAAACGAGTTCACCGTCAGTGGAAAAAACGCTGTGAGGACACACAACCTCCACTCCAACCATCTTTAAATAGCTCACAGAGACCTACAGAGGTCAGAAGGTTTCACAGGTTCAACTTTCAAACGGAGATAAAACAAACTGATGTGCTTAAAAACGAGGAAACTGTGGGGAGATCATCTAAAAACATCTATGAAGATCTAAATATAGATCAGATCCTGACACAAGAGTCAAACTAAACTATGAAAACTTATAAACTTTATAAAATCGCTTCAGACAAAAGCTGTAAACTTCATATTTTTCACTCAGTTAAAAAAAAAGAGATCCTTTCCCTCTGTCCAAAACTCTCCGTGTCTGTGAGGTCTCCAAAACCAAAGAAGGTCACTGCTGCCACCTACTGGAGGAAAGCTGTAACACTTTCAGAGCTGCAGCCTTGAACACCTTCACCCACAGATCCGTGTGAATAAAATCATTTCACTCAAACAACCTTATTTATTGACCACCACCATCCAGGAAGTCCTCCAAACAAGTTCTATTTAAGCGATCTGACTTCGACTGAGAAACTTTGACATGTCGGATAAATCTAAATTGAACACACACACAAATCGCACAAACACACACACGCCTATGGACACAACCCCTTCATGCACATCAGTACTAAGACACACACACACATTGACAGTGAGCATGCTCTGTTGCGATCTTTGGGTGTTGTAGTGTGTGTCTCACCTTCTGCCACAGAGCTTCTCTGGAGGCCAGACTGGAACAAGCAGCTACAAACCAGCAGTTTCCCAGCTGCCCCTGGTGCAGGTCGTGAGCGCTGATGCCGTCCACAAACAGATGAGGGTCTCTGCATAAATCCTACAAGAATAAAAGACAAGTTCAGACGGACTCAATAAAGAACTATTACTGTCTCAATATAAGAGAGAACGAAGGTGAAAGGGTTAAAAATCATCAAATCTACGTGATCACAGAGACTTTCAGACCAAAGAAGTCAAACATCTCAGAAACCATCTAACTCCACATCTTCACAAACACTCCTCCTGTTTTCTACAGTTTGATGATTCATCAAACAGCTGATTATAAAACGATAGACTTTGTTTTCTCTGCTGCAGGTTCACAGGTGGTCCGCTCACAGGTGTGGGTGATTGTGATGTAGGGCGTGAACCGGAGCGCTCCGTCAACTTTACCGAGGTGAACAAACAGCGAGTAAAAACACCCTCTGGACTTTAAACGAACAAAGAAGAAGAAGAAGAAGAAGAAGAAACCACAGGGTGGATGAAAGACGGACTAACAGGACGGACGCCAAATGATAGGACGGGGATAAACCAGGAGCACACACACCCAACAAAACCACGAAACCACCACCACCACCTACAGACGGACCTCCACATATGAACAACATCTTCACTAAGACGGTCCAGGTCATCTCCTCGACTCTGTCTGAAGACTCTTCAGTTTATATTTGAGTCCGTTCAGTCGTGTTCGAGTCTTTCCTTCACGATCTTATGGACGAACAAACTGATCATGTGACTGACCAGGAGGGCTCTACGACGAGGGTACTACTCCAAATTAGGGGGTACTATTTAAAGTACACATACTGGACTCACTTAAACATACAGAAGCATGACTATACACACACACACACACACACACACACACACACTCCTAATTGTTAAACTCATTAAAGGTGTAGTGTGCGGTTTTATCCATCTCCCTTCCTCTCCACCTCTCCACACTCCCTGTCTCTCTCTCTCTCTTCAGCTAACCTTTTAAAAAACGCAGTACACTTGACTTTGACTAATTTCACTCATATCATATTAATTAATTTTTGTTTATGAGGCACAAATTCACAACAAATGTTTCTTTAAGATAGAGGAAAGAGCTGCTCTGGACTCGAGTCCTCCTGACATCTACAGAGACCTACAGAAATATGGGAAAAACAAAGATTTACTGTCGGATGACCTTGAAGTCGTTTCTTCTTGGAGAGTTTCGGTGAATAAGGATGTGAACTGAGGCTGAAGTGGATCCAGTCTGGACTCTCTGAGTTACACTGAACCGTGTTTTTACTTTGAGGAAGAAGATCAAACTTTTTAAAGTTCTCGTTTACATTTTTACGTCTTTTACCTTCAGGTCTGATTTTTTATCTCTTTATGATAAATACTTTAAAACAGTCTAAACCCTCTCTCTCTCCCTCTCTCTCTCTCTCTCTTATTCTCTCTCTCTCTCTCTTTGGACAAATCAATAATATTGATTAATCTGAGAGCTTAACTTTCCTGTTGAATTATTCACCAACTTTGATCATCAATTATTGACAAGAAGATTATATTATACATAAACCGTTGAGGCTCTGAGTCTTCCTCCAGTAAAAACAGAGTTTGATCATAAAGATCTGAATGAACAAATAAACTGAAGGTCCCATAGAAACAAACATGGAGGGCTCTAATTCCAACCATCTCACCTCTTATTTGAACAGACAGACGATCGCTGGAGTTTCAGTTCAGTTTCAGTAAATCTTTGAACCTGAACTTCTTCAGTAACTCTCTAAATGTAAATATAAAACAGTCCAAACATGTTCCTCATTATGTGTTCAAACTGTAAACAGAACAAAGTGTGTGAACATCAGTGGCGGCTGCTGGTCTTTCAAGGAGGGGAAGCTCATTTTTCTGGCCTACATCATAATTGTATTTGTTTATTAGTATGTAACAGAACAGAGTCGCCAAACACAACGGCAGTCGTTTTTAACAAAGACAACAGTCGCTGAGGATCGGTAAAGTCTCCGGAGCAGTTAAGAACAACGGAATGAATAACTTGGAAAATGCTCTGGTAGATGTTTTATTCTTCAAGATCGCTGATTCGCTTGTTTAGCTGTCAATCAAAAAAGGATTTCTCCTCAGACAGCTCATCCAATCATGGATGCAGAAGCTTGGAGTCCAGGAGAAAGTCAGGACCGCCCTCTCGCCATAGAACTCCAGTGAAGCTTAGCTTCCATTGGGCGGGACAAAGCCCAGCATTTATCCAATGAGCGTCTAGTTTCGCTGCTGGAACAACCCACTTTAAGCTTCCACATTGAAGTCAGCAGAAGCCCAGCGTCCGGCTGTTTAAAGCGCTGAGGCGCTGCGAGGATGAATGAGAACGAAGTTATGCCGGTTACCTGTGATTATCAGCTTCTTATCACAGTGTCTGAACAAAAGATGAAGGCTTTCTAGTGCGTATTTAGTTAATGAAATGTACACACAGCCGTACGTATTTCACCACTTTTTCTTTTTTTTGGGGGGGTGACATTTTAAGGGAAGCCGAGCTTCCCTTGCAGTCTTAGAGCAATCGCCACTGGTGAACATGCAGACAGACAAACTCTGTCAGGATTGGAAGTCAGTGGGGTAAATACCAGAAATACCGCTCTCTCTGTTTAGACCGTACCCTCCTCCTCCTCCTCCTCCTTCATACTTCATAATCTTGTTTTTCTGTCTCTGTAAAACTCCCAAAACAGTCGACCTCGCCTCCATCCCTGCCGTGAAAACCCATTTTTGTTACTTACAGATGATTTCATTGGCCTTCCTCTCGCTCTCTTCCTCACCATCACGCTCTGACTGAAGCCCACAGGTTAGTGAACGTTTGTCTGTACCTGACCGACCACGCGGAGAACTCAGAGACTGACCAATCAGGACGAACTCGAATGTTCTTCTGCATTCTTGGAGGGAAACACGTGAAGCCGTGTGGAGCGCCTCACCTTGGGTCTTTTCCAGGTGACGTTGCCGATGCGGTTGCTCTGGTAGAACAGCGACTGGTCGTTGGTTGGAAACAGAGGGTCTTCAAACAGGACTCCATTCTGCTGACACTGTTTCTTCAGAGCGGAGAAGGACTGACCCTCGTATGGGACCACCATCCCCCCTGTGAACACAGAGACCCTATCATTAAAGCTCCAGTGAGGAGTTTTTCTGATGTTTCTAAAACAGGAACTCTTCGTGAAATCGATTATCAGGAACGAGACTGAACGTCCACATGACGCAGCTGTTAAACACATTTCTGAACAGTTTAAAAGTCAAAGAACTTCTGCTGTTTTATCGACAACAAATAAAGAGTTTTTAAAGGTCAAAGGTGAAGTCACGACCCTCCATCTGTCCAGTTTTTATCCACACAAAGACGTCTGCTCTCTTCTTCCTGTTGGCGTATATTTCATCGCTCACTCACTAAAAACAGAAACACAGTTCGCTCGTCTGTTCTGTGGTACCGCAGAAACATGGCGGCACAAGACGGCGGCCTCTATGGAGGAGGACCTGCTCTTTCTGCTGATATAGATAATGAAACCATTCTTCTATTTGAGTGATCATGAACCATTTTGAGTATTATTTTCATTTCTGCTTCTGAGTCTAATCTACTGAATGCAGCTAAATTCTGCGTACTGTACCTTTAATATATTTAAATGACCCCAGATTGAACACTTTACTGAGCTCTCTGTGATCCATCACTTATCTGTCACTTATCTACCCCCCCTCATGGTGACGGATTTTAAACAAAGTCGTTGTTCGAGGTGGATCTCAAAATAAACCTCCTGACATTCGTGCTGATGACAGAAGAGGAAGAGCTTTTATTTTGAAAGTCTAGGTCTGATTTTCAGAGATTTTCAAACTTTGGTTTTTCTGATCTGAAAGAGGCAAAAGTCCAGAATGATAAGAAGAAGAGGACGGTTCAAACCGGTCCGAGAGGTCACAGCGGACAGAGCTGATAATACTGGAGTTACTTCAGGATTAGTTAAAAGGATATTCTCTATCACACACTCCTCCAACATGCACGCGCACACACACACACACACACACATAAGTCAAATATACATTAGATAATCGCCTCATTAATCGTACGTCAGTTTGATGATCACAAACTCTGCTGTCATGTTTGTGTTGAACTTACCAGCAAAGCAAACACATGATGTAAGAGACATGCCTGTATTTACTCGGTGTGTGTGTTTGTGTAGGTGTGTGTGTGTGTGTGTGTGTGTGTGTGTGTGTGTGGGTGTGTGTGTCTGCAGGTCTACTGAGTGTCTCATCTGGGAACTTAAAAAAAGCTCAACAAAGTGCGACAGCCTCTGAAAAAGGAAGCAGCGACGACAAACTTTTTTTTTCTTTAGACTGAAACAAACGGGTCAGAACAGTTTCTGATCCAGACGGCTCGGATTACAGGAGGACAGGACACAAATGAGCCCCCCTCAACCAGAACTTCCTCGTGGTTTTAGATACAGGGGTTGTGTTGGCTTCAACAAAGACCCTCAGACCCTCACAGAAAAGCCCGTGCAGAAGAGATGTTTGAGGTTGAGTTTGAGAATACCACTTCCTGTATCATGTACAGTGTTGTGAAACCATCTGCTGACTGACGGAGCGTTTGTCTTCTTAACCAACTGACAACAGAGTAAAGAGAGAGAGTGATTGAAAACTCTGAGCTGGAAGACTGGACGTGGACCCTGAGAGGACGTGACCCGGCGGGGTGCTTACAGAAACTGCGCTGACCTTCCTCACTTCAGAGAGACTGCATGCCTGCGACATGAGTCAGCGTCAGATGGGAGAAGTGGGACAATGTGCGTCTTTCTCGTGTGTTAAACAAAACAAGTCAAACTCGTGTTCGACGACAGTCTGACAGTGAACTCTGCACACTCTGACCATGAGACACCGTAACTCAGGATTTCATTAAACACATTAGCTCTGTGGTTCTGGTAACATCAGGTGATAATGTGGCTCACTGGGGTCTGTCTGCAGTCCCTACTTCTCGGTCTGAGCATGCTCAGTCCTGGAGGAGCTGCACCCCCAGAGAAACTGAGGTGGGCTGCAGATACAGCTTCATGATGCTCCTGCTACAGGTGAGGGTTCTGGGAACAACGAGCCGGAGAGGATGAGGAGGGGGTCTGTAAAAAAGACCACTCCTTAAAAGAGGTGGTCTTAATAACGACCTCTCTGTTGTCTGTAATCTTCACACAACAGCAGCTGAAACTTCCTGACTGAAGAGGTCGATCTCCTGGAAGTGTGACAGACTTGGAGTGACTCTGTGATGAAACTTTACATATTCAAACTGCTGCAGGAACTTCTGTTTTACATACAGAGATTAAAGCTATCGTTAGGGCTGGACGATAAAACCATAACGGTAAATACTGAAAATTAATTTCCTTCAATATCAATATAAAACATGATCAATATCCTTTTCAATAGTCGTCATTCTGACATGTTTTGGTCGACTATACCAACAGCCAATGAAAAGGGGAGTTTCTCCGGGTCTGAACCAATCATGTTCTGAATTAGAACCAAGTATCAACCAACTGCAGCGTCGTAGCAGACAGCAGCTCCACCCAACCATAGCACTTTAACAGGTGAAGCCGACAGCACTGTTGGTGAGAAACAAAGAAAATGAGTGCTACCCCCGACAGAAATGACCATGAAGGCTCAACAGATGACCACATCAATGTCAACCACAACACTGGCGTTAGGAAAACGTCGGTGGTGTGGAGGTATTTTGGTTTTTGGAGGTCGGACATGAAGCAGAGTAATGTGGACTGTAAATTATGTCGAGTACATGTTCTCACAAAGTCGGGGAATACCTCAAATCTTTTTCACCACCTGAAGCAGCGCCACGCCGCAGAGCACGCGCAACGCCAAAGGTTACAAACCCCGAGAGGAGCGAGGAGCCCGTGGCGCCTGAAACAGACGACCTTTCAGTCGGCTTTCTCTAGAGCGACGCCTTACGACAAAACGCCAAAGAGACACAAAGACCTCACAGATGCAGGAGATTATTGTGTTGGAAAAGACATGAGACCAATAAACACTGTTAGATTTTTATATCCTGATATTGATCGATATCAGCTGATATGAACAAAATTCATCGTGATAAACTTTTTCCCATATCGCCCAGCCCTCGCTATCACTAGTTTCCAACTCCAGTCTCTAAGTTTGTTTTTGGTTACTAACATGAAAACAAAGACAATCATGAGATAAAACAATTAGGACATAATATCAAATTAAAACGAGTTACAGAAGAACACACAGTCGATAAAAACGCTCAGATTCACAGTGTTGGTGTAAAGAGCCTGAAGAGAAAACAGCATTTCTGAGAGTCGACGGCTCATCAGGGAAACAGCTTCAAGCACGCTCAGTAATGGTCGGGGGAGACAGACACAGTTTCGGCTGTGCAACACTCTGCGAGGTACAGGTTTGTCAGGTCTGATGAATGTAAATTACAAAGACATGACAAAGATGTCAAAATGGACTTTAAATGATCAGCTGTTCTGCTGACAAAAAACAAAGACTTCTCAGAAGAGCTTTAGAGAACAAACCAAAAAAGGTTTGAGACAAAAACAAAACCACAGTTTCCCAGAGTGACTGTCATCCTTCTCTGCAGAGGAAGCATCGTTGGCAGCTGTTTTATTCAGAGTCAGCAACTTTCCCGACCGTCACCCTGAACCACGAGAAGGACGCCGAATTTTAGCAGCATCTTTAAAACAGGATTTTTGTTCTGAGCTGTAAATACAGGGACGAAAGTATGAAAACGAGAGGTCGTTACAGTCCTGATATAAGGTCATTAAAGAGAAGCAGTACTCTGAATTATAATAATGATAATAATTTAGTATAGCACATTTTCATTCGTCATAAGGAACCCAGACAATCCAAGAACCGTGCAACATAACATGAGACCCTGATCCTCCTCTCTCTCTCTCTGTGCTTAATTGACTCCTTATAAAGCTCCAAACTTATTTATTTTCTCAGGCCTTTCTTTAATTGTTTTTGGGGCTGATATGACTGTTTCATGTTGTTTTCTTGGCCTTTTAATTTGTATGTACATTTTGATTTTTGTCTATGTGAAGCACTTTGTGACTCTTTTGTCTGTGAAAAGTTCTAAAAAAATAAAGTTTACTTACTTACAAAATAAAAACATAAAATAGTTAAGAAAATGCAGTTAAAAGGGTGTCGAAAGTGGAAACAGGACGGTAAATATAAAAGCTGATATCAACAATGATAATAAGATAATAACAGGTAATACTGATAATAATAGAGCAAGAGAAAAACAGTAACTAAGTTTTATTTATTGGGTGAGACGTTGAACAGGCAGTTATTTCAGTCAGCTTCAGCTCAGTCCTCTCGCTCATTTTCTGCAGTATTACCAGAATAACTCGTCTTTTCTGTGTCTCAGTAGGTGGATCTGTGGAAGTGTCCCTCAGGGCTCACTGCTCTCTCTCTCTCTCTCCGTCTGTCTGTCTGTGATTCTCACCTGCTGCAGGTAAAGATGAGGAAACACCTGAGAGAGAGAGAGGCTGAGCAGGATCTTTACCGACCTCAGGTTTGATCATCATCAGACACAGATGTTCAATGATGATGGCGCAAACCCAGAACGACAACCAGCCAAACATGGGTGTGGTTTCATGTGGGCACCAGAAGACATGCCATCACATGTGACAGTGATCAACAGTCTGAGCAGAGAAGGAAATATCAGCTCTGTGTGTGTTCAGGAGAGAGAGAGAGAGAGAGAGAGAGAGAGAGAGAGAGAGAGACCTGATCCACACGAACAAGTTCGATCAGCTTCTTCAAATCCTCCACTTCTCTGTCTTTACTAAATTTAACTCTAAAAGCAAATTTGCAGAACAGCTCTAGGTTTTCAACAATGTTAAAACACCAATAATGAGTCAATATCTAACCGGTGAATGAGTAAAGCTGCCTTCAAAATAAAACTTGATTAATGATCATTCAGGAAAACTGCTGGAACTGCGTGTCCGTGTGTGTAAACGAAGCAGAAATATAGATTTTAAACTATTAAAAACATAATTAAGTGTGTATCTTTATAACTAAGAAGTTAAAATAATAAAAAAATAATGCAGAAACAACTCGTTCACCAAGTTTGTGCAATTATTTTGAAAGGTAACTTCCGGAAGTATCATATCTACGTTCGCTAACTTGAAAGATGTTGAGTTTTGCAAATATTTTTTCATCTAAACTGATGATTAGGAAACAAAAGTGTGATCAGATCCTGTCATAATTTAACTTAAGTGTTTATAACCTCTTCATTCTCTTTACTCCGGACACTTTTTAACCTTTATTTTACCGTAAAGTCCTTCCGCTCGCTCCCCGCCAAAGTTAGACATAAACTCTTATCAGTCTAAAAACGGATGTGAACAGTCTTTAATAACGGCTCATTTATACTAACAGACGGTCTAAGATGAAAAAAGCCCCGTAGTCCTGTCTTAGTTAGTTTATTAATCCATACCTGCAGATGTGTTTGGTGGTTAGATGTCAGCTCCTCTGTCTCTGTTTCTCTGGAGGATTCTCGGTCTTTCTGTCTCACTCTTCGTCTTGTTGTCAGGTCCCTGATGTGTGAAGCTCTTCAGTTCAGACCTAAACAGTTAAAAACATCCAGAGTAAATCCACACACACTCAGGAGGAGCTCCAGCAGCCCACTCACACCCACAGCCAGCCTCCTCCTCTCAGCTGAGGCCTTCACGGACGGCACGGACATTTGGGAATCTTCAGTCCTGAACCAAATCCTGAGATTAACAGACAGAACAGCAATAATATAGTTAGCTATCCCCACAGGTATTTTTCATCAAGTAGGAAGACTGAGTTTTCTTTTGAGATGTGATTTTGAAATATCCAAATTGCCTGTAAAATTGTCTCAAAACCACAAACAGATTCTCCACTATTGAAGGATGGTGTTTAGACAAAGACTGTATATACTATATATACTTGAATATATAGACTAGACAGTCTACGGTGTTTACCCATGACTTTTCTCCACATGGCTCCACCTCCTGGAATAACAGAGCTGTTACATCTAACAGAAAAACTTTATTTATTCAAAGTTGGTTTGAAAAATAAATCATTTTTATCACAGACAGACTCGATGGTCACGGTCAGATTCTTCACTTCACTGAGTTCAAAACCAAATATAACAGTGAAAGTTTAAATAGAGAGTACCAAAGGTTTGTAATACCCACTGCTTCACTAAAGTTAATTCAAAACTACATGCATTACTCTGAGGGAACAATAACCTTGCCAAAAATACAGTTTAACCAGGTTTCTTTACTTGAAAAAAAAGGCAAAAATAACATTATTAATAAATTATTCAAAGATCAATCATTTCATAACTTTGATAGAAATGTGAAAATGTATAATAGTGATGAAAAAATAACCAATAAATGGGTAAAATTTATGAAACGGCCGATTTCCCCTAAAATCAAGGAAATGTAGTTTAAAATGATCAATAGTTACTATCCTTCAGCAACAGTCCTTAAACCGAGGTTTGGGTTCGAGTGGAGCCGTGTGTTTTCTGCTCACAAGAAGAGGAAACAATTAAACATCTTTTTTTCTTCTCATGCAGCATAATTAAGAAGTTTGGGCTGATTTAGTGAACTGGTTAAAAATTAAAATAGATAAAGTTGCACACTTGAAAAGTCCTGGATGGAAATTACAACATGCCAAACACATGTTTCAAACTTTACAATATAATAATAATAATTATGGGTAAATAAATATGGGTAAAATAAAAATCCATCTCTCGCATTGTTTAAAACAGAACTTAGATCTTATTTTGCCTCCTTGTCACTAATTAAAGACTGTAGTCTAGAGCTAGAAAACCTCTGTGATGATGTCTTTAAATATGTACTTTTGTAACTCAATCAATCATTAATTATCTAATATTCACATTTGCTGTTTGTATGAATTCCAAAGGCAGGCCTGCCTGTAAGTTTTGTGTTTTTCTTTTCTTTTCTACATTCTGTTGTTCTGTAAAAGTAAGATGTACATCTGAATTGCACTTGTCTCCCATTGAGAGTTTTGTAAATTGTTGAATATGTTATAAAAAAAAAAGATAAACCATAAATTCACAAGGAAATACATGATGATAACAACAAACTGCTAAATGTGTGTCAACAGGACTTTAAAACACGACTCTGAGAGGAAGATGCTTTTGTTTTGTATGACTGACCTCCAGTGGATGTTGCAGTAACTGCTGGACTAGTTTAAGTGGTAACTGTTTTTTATTTTTTTAATAAAACGATGATGTTTGTTGAATTTTTGTACCTGACCATACCTGTGCACTGTTATCTAAAACACTCTTTATATGAAGCTCCTGAGGTGGGAGGAGACACAGCTCATGATTCTGGTCGTTTTAGGGGGTCGGAGCAAAAACACGATAATGCAAACGTTAGTGTAGTTCTCAGCTGAGGGTCTGCAAACAGAAAGAGTGTCAGCAGGACAGTAACAGAGTTTTTCCAGCAGCTTTTTCCAGGACGGGCTGCAGAACTGTGTCCAGATGGAAAATGAGGAAATTCTGCAGTTTTTACAAGAGCAGAAGAAATAACCAACATTATAAAGATGTTTTCACAGACAAGAGCAGAAGTTAATTTATGTGATCGAGCAGACGTTACCGTCCGCAGAGTTTAAAATATAATAAGAACGGTGGCTTCATAAAACAACTGACTGTCCCTGTGATGTGATTAATCTTTAACATCAGCAGAGGAAAGAACATCCACAGTGTCATGTGAGAAACTGCCCTTTACACTGAGCTGAGACTGAAATACCAACACATCCATCAGAAAACGTGCGACCGTGTCTGAGAGGAGATCATGGCCGCGTTTGGAAGAAACAACACGAGCTGTCACAGGTAAATACGAGCCACTGAAACACACAGAGAGGTTTAAGTTTGCTCCGATCGTCGGTTATCTCACCTCGTTTTAAACTTTTAATTGTTAACTTGTGTTTTTCCTCGATGATCTGCACAGGAAGCTCTTTCACAGGCCGGGGTTAGAGGAACAGATGATCTGACATGTTGACAGAAAGAACGACAGATTATTATTGGAGGAATAATTTACTGTTTTATTTCCACGACCTTCAGAAAAGTTCATAATGGGATCTCAGTGACATTAGTTGACTTTATTCAGCTGAACATGTCGATATTTTGTATGTTATTATATTTTATATAAAAGTGATTCAGGAAAATGTTGAAGATAAAATCCAGCAGAAACTCTGGAACTTGTTTTCCTCTCTCTCGGCTCCGTTTGTCTGCCTTTAGAGAAGCTTTTTTCACTGCGTTACCTGGAAATGAGGAGGATGTTTGAAAAGTCTGGAATAAAAACGACTTTTAACCTTTTTACTGTTTCTTGTCATTGAACCATAAAAACTCTTATTTCCTCCACAGGCTGAAAATCTTAACCAGGTGGATGACTTTCACAGCGTTTCTGGCTGCTTCAGCAGATCCAGCGGATGCAGCCGCTCTGACTGTTGCGCCGACCTGTCGGGTCAGAGGTCATCCAGAGACAGAGCTGACTCTGAGGTGTGGAGACCAGAGAAGAACAGGTGAGTAAAAAAGACGTGGATCCAGAGATATTCGTTTAAATCTGTGGGATTAAACACAGACTGTGAGGATTTAACGGGGGTCAGAAATCCTTCGATCAGGTCAGAGGTTTCAGTCGGACTCAGTCTCAGGTTTGAGTTCCTGCTGAGGGTTTCGGACCCCTCATGAATGATCTGCGCCCCCTCATCTGTAAAAACTCGTCCTCTCATGCACAGGTGTGGTTCAGTACTGGCACACTCCCTTCGGGGACCTTGAGACCCCCGGTTTCAGGACTGAACTGGACCCTGCCGTCATGCATCATGATGGGAGCCTGGTGGTCCCCAACATCAGCTCTCTCCACAGCGGCTTGTATTACTGCCTCCTGCTGCACAGAGAAGGAACTACACTCTGGTCCTACGAGCTTCATGTGAGTCGAAGCAGCCAGAGAGAAGGTGACCACAGCGCTCACGAGCAACCCCACTGTGGTGCCTTCAGGTTCAGGAGGTCCGCTGGGTCTCCTGAGGAGAGGCAGGCCGGCGTTTCGGATGAGCAGTTAGCAGGAGCCGTGGCGGCGTCTGTGATTCTGACATTTGTGGTGGGCTTCAGCGCCGGAGCTTTGTCCAGGACCCGGGTTCTCAGGTGAGTTCAGGTCCTAAAGGTCCAGAATTATAACAATAATAATAATAATAAAGAAAGTAAAGTAGATGTTCTCTAATTAGTTCCATGTCCTTTCAGGTGTCTGGGTGCCATCAAGAGCAGGGTGGGATCACCACGGCAACAACGACAACGACAACGACAACGACAACGACAAGGCCAATCTGATGCTCTGGACCGTGACTCTGACTCCAACATGGACAAGAACGAGACCCTGGAGATGGAGGAGGTGGTCCTGGAGGAGGATTCTGCCGTCAGTGTGACCATGGAGTCCACCTTCTCATCCAGAGCCTCAACGCCCCCCGTCAAACCTCAGAGAAGCTTCCGGCAAAAACGAGAGGAGGAACCAGAAACCACGACCTACCTGGAGGGATGTGACTACCTGAAGGTGGAGAAGGTGGAGGAGGTGGAGAAGGTGGAGGAGGTGGAGGATGAGCAGAGAAGTCCGGAGGAGAACAGTGAGGAGTGTGACGGGGAGGCAGAGAAGGAAAAGGAGTTCAGTGGTTCCTTTTATTTATCCGACAAAGATGGAGGGAGTCCGAGCGGGACAGATGAGGAGGAGCGCAGCGAGGATGGAGAGATGAGAGATGAAAGAGGGAGCAGAGAAGAGGAGGAGGAGGAGGAGGACACGAAGCAAGAGGGGGAGGAGATGGAGGAGGCAAGAGCACAGGAGATGAGTAGTCCTAGTAGTGAAGATGGAGGTGAAGAGGACAGCACAGAGAACGAGGAGGAGGAGGAGGAGGAGGAGCGAGACGACAAGAGAGAGGGAGGAGAAGAAAGGGAGGAAGGATTTAGAGATGAGAAGAGGAGGCCAGAAGATCCAGAGATGGACCAAGATGAAGACCTGCGTGGTGAGGGAGGAGACCCTCCAGCTGCTCCGCCCTCTCTGGGTCGTCGCAGTCGCGTCATACGCCTGTACCAGTACGACGAAGACGGCCAGAGATACGGCCACCTCCCAAACCCCGCCCCTGATGAACCAGGCCCCGCCCCCAAACTGAAGCAGCGCTCCCTCTCTCTGACACGCCTCAGCGCCATCATGGCCGCTGCCTCAGCAGGTCCACTGGACGTGAGAGAGACGGAGGAGGAGAGGAAACACTTCCACATGGAGCTGTGAGACGGGAGAAGACCATGAGAGCCGGGGCGACCACGGCGGCTCGGACTGATCCATGAAGGATCTGATTTCAGCTCCGATCAGCTGATTTCAGCTCTGAATCATCGATGTTTGGGTGTCAGACGTCTTCAGTCTACAAACCATATTTAATCTCTTCAGATTAAAAACTTCATTAATGGGTTTTCTGAGTTAATCTGAGCTGAAAACCCTGAACCTGTGGTTGTTAGGGGGGTTAATATTCAGACGTCTGAGTCTTTTCTATGATGGTGAAAACATGGAGATAAAATAAAGAAAACTAAAGCTCTTCTGACATTCTCGTCTTTTTT